CCATTCATTCATTCATTCATTCATTCATTCATTCATTCATTCATTCATTCATTCATTCATTCATTCATTCATTCATTCATTCATTAAATTATTCATTCATTCATTCATTCATTAAATTATTCATTCATTCATTCATTCATTCATTAAATTATTCATTCATTAAATTATGCATTCATTCATTCATTCATTCATCCATTCGTTCATTCATTTATCCATTCATGCATCCATCCAATCATTCAAGTTTTCATTCATTCATTCATTCATTCATTTATTAATCCATCCATTAATTTATTTCTTTATTCATCCATTCATCAATTTATTAAATTATTCATTCATTCATTCATTCATTCATTCATTCATTCATCCATCCATTCATCCATCCATGCATTCAATTATTCATTCATTCATTCATTCATCCATCCATCCATCCATCCATCCATCCATCCATCCATCCATCCATCCATCCATCCATCCATCCATCCATCTATTCATTCATTCATTCATTCATTCATCTATCCATTAATTTATTCATACAATTATCCATCCATTCATTTAATTATTTATTCATTCATCCATCCATCCATCCATCCATTAATTCATTCATCCATCCATCCATCCATCCATCCATCCATCCATCCATCCATCCATCCATCCATCCATCCATCCATCCATTCATTCATTCATTCATCCATCCATTCATTTATTCATCCATTCATCCATCCATTCAATTATTTATTCATTCATTCATTCATCCATCCATCCATCCATCCATCCATTCATTCATTCATTCATTCATTCATTCATTCATTCATCCATCCATCGATCCATCCATCCATCTATCCATCCATCCATTCATTCATTCATTCATTCATTCATCCATCCATTCATTCATTCATTCATTCATCCATTCATTCATTCATTCATTCATAATTTATAAAACACATTTACGCATAAAAAACAACCAGGGTTGACCAAACTGCTGTACATGTGACAGATACAACAAATAAAATACACTATACTGAGAACAGATCCATGAAATATACTCAACTACCTCCCTTTCTTCATGTGTTCAATACTTTTTTCCAGCGACATTTCATTTTGTTACACAAAACTTCATTTGTAAACTAATTAGATTTATTTTATTTGTATATGTGGATTTCTTTGGTTGCTATCAACATCCGGTAATAACTTCAGGTCAACAGCACATGATTAAAGTGGTTCAAAACATCATCAAAAACTACTTAACAACAGCCATTCTTGTCTTAGGGCAATTTTTGAAAAACTTTTTTGATCCTCTTTGAATGCTGACTTGTATACATACCGTTAATAAGCTTTTTTCCTCTTCAAAACTGGTGTTTTACAAAAATATATTTATACACTGCCTATTTATAAACTACTCATTTGCATCAGGTTTGCACACGCCACTGCTTTACTCCGGCTGTAATTTGTGACGGCTCTTTAGCTCTGGCAGGCAGTGACTTTAATGAAGCGCCACATGGAGAATTAGTGCACACCATATGCAAACGCAGGTGCTCTGGTCTGTGGAGTGGCTCGCTGGAGGTCATAAAGCAGCCGCGTGGGAGTCTGGATTTCTGTACTTCTGGCCTGTGCAATCAGAAGAGTCTGAACTCCCCATGAGAGCTGGAGCCCGGAGCGGCTCACAGATGGAGCAAAGCAGGCGGCCGCGGGTAGATGGTTGTTAGCGGGTTAAAGGGTGATCGTGGAGGGCGAGGAAAGAGATGCATGGACAGAACAGGTGAGGAACCCAGTAGAGTTCAGTCTAGCGGGTTAATTGAGGAGTTTTGTGCTCTTTGCTTCTATGATGCAACACCAGATCAAGGTGGAAGGCATCATGCGGGAGTTTCTACACATTTTCTGCCCTTTGCAGGTTGTTTTTGGTCTTTTCAAGATGTTTTCAGTGAGAAAATTGAGTGCTGAAAATAAGTTTTACCAATTTTTATAGCTCCTTTTATCTGTGGGGTACCTCAGGGTTCTGTTTTGGGACCGTTTTTATTCTGAGTATTTAAGCTTCCACTTGTTTTTCCATTGAAATGTAAAATGTAAAGACTTTTACACTATTTGTAAATTATTAAAAACTGTTTTATTCTTCTATTTTGCTGTCGCAACATATTTAAGGTACAGGGCTGAGGAAAGAGATGCATGGACAGGAGTTTCTACACATTTTCTGCTCTTTGCAGGTTGTTTTTGGTCTTTTTTAACATGTTTTCAGTGAAAAAATCGAGTGCTGAAAAGTAGTTTTACCACTTTTTATCATTTGCAGCTCCTGTTATTTTTTGGGTACCTCAGGGTTCTGTTTTGGTATCGTTTTTATTCTGAGTATTTACGCTTGGTTAAAAAGCTCTTCATTGAATTTAAATAATGCATTAAATGTTGAACCATGATTAATAAATGTTATACAAGAAGCGCTCGATCATAGTTCATGTAAGTAAATACATTAACACTAATGAAACCTTACTGTGACTAGTTAAAAGTTAAATAAATACATACATGCATGCACACATATACACTTAATTATGTGCCATTTTAATACTTAAATGAATATATATTTTACAAAGAATGCAAAAGCTGTATTTTTAACACATTTCCATACGCACATTTCAAGTAAATTGTGTTTAATTTACGTAAATAGAGCAAGTCAGTTTTTAATAACACATTATGCAGTAAGTACACTAATGTTATTGTACTAATAGTATACTTGTAAGTGCACTATGTGCAAATTAACACTTTTCAGTTAATAAAAGTCTCAGGTTTTGAGACAGGTTTGAGTGAGAAACAGACAAGTTGATAATCTCACCATCACACATTTCAGGCGACGCTTAACAGATTTAACAGATTAACATGTCTATTCACTTCAAAAGTCACTCAGACTAGTGTTATACTGCTTTACGGATGCGCGCGCGCATGTGTGTGTGTGTGTGTGTGTGTGTGTGTGTGTGATTGCTAGTCCCTGATCATGGTATTAAAAAAAAGCATCTGATACAGATGAAAGTAAATAATGATGAATGTTTGGCTAAACTAAAAAGTAAAAGATGGTCATAAAAATAAAATAAAAAAAAAATAAAATAAAAAAATAAAAAATAAAATAAAAAAAAATTTTAAAAAATAAAATAAAATAAAAAAAATAACAAAATAAAAACAAAACAAATCAAATCAAATAAAAATCTAATCAAATAAAAACTAATAAAAATAAAATAATATAAAAAAATCTAATAAAATCAAATAAAATACAAATAAAATAAAATAAAACAAATACAATAAAAAACAAATAAAATTAAAACAACTAAAATTAAAAACAAATAAAATTAAATTAAAAAAATTATAAAATAAAAAAATAATACAATAAAAAACAAATACAATAAAACAAAAAACAATAAAAAATAAAATACAATACAAATAAAATAAAAAAGAATTAAATAAAAAATAAAATAAAATAAAAATAAATTAATGAAAATAAATAAAAAAAAACAAATAAACCATTAAGTACATAAACAAACAAACAAACAAATTAAAAGTAAAAATAAATTAAAAGAAAACACTTATTCACACACACACTCACACACTACGGCCAATTTAGTTCATCAGTTCCCCTATAGCGCATGTGTTTGGACTGTGGGGGGAACCGGAGCACCCGGAAGAAACCCACGCCAACATGGGGAGAACATGCAAACTCCACACAGAAACACCAACTGACCCTGCCAGGACTCAAACCAGCGACCTTCTTGCTGTGAGGCGACAGTGCTAACCACTGAGCAGAAAAATGTCCATGCAAATCAGTCACTTCTATTGCACATTCAATGTGAAGCAAACGTCATGTGACCATCACAGAAGAAACCGCATTGATGACCTCAGATAACCTGAGCCGGTTTAGCAGTGAAGTGAGCTTAATGTGATGATGCTCGAGTGTTTCTGTCTTTATGAAATGATTTATTGTGTCTGCAAATCCCCGGTGGGCTTCAATCACCCCTCTGATCAATTCCTTCCTGCTTGTTTTTCTGTGCTATATATTAATAGAGCGGGACGCGCAGTGAAATTCACCACTGCTGGCATACGGATGATGATGAGAAAAAATCCATCTGTAGTCATGGCAACAGCAGTTCATGCGTGTGGGAAAGCAGACGATGAGGAAGTTAATCACTCGCTGCTGTATACTGTGATCAACAGGTGAAGTCTACAGGTGTGCAGAGAAAATACAGGTAACACTTTAGTTTAAGTATCAACCATTTACTACTGGCTTATTACCTGCATATTATGGAGATATCAACTGTTTATTACACAATATCAATACCTAAACCCAAATACTGTCCTGCTAATGATTAATAAGCTGATAATTAGTAGTCTTTTGAGCTAAAGCTATTAGTTAAATGTTTGTTAATAGCATAGATTGTACATTAAAATAAAGTGTGAAAATCCTGCACACACACACAGCCTTGAATACACTTTTAAAACACTTTACATCTTAGAACTCTCTTTTTAAATTCAAGCAAATTTTGCATTAAACTTTTGCTGAAATGCAAAAAAAAACAAAACAAAAAAACTGTAAAATTAAACAATTAAGAAATAAGAAATAAGTAAAAAAAAAATCTAAATAATTGCAATATATAAAACAAAAGAAAGGGTCATGAAGCTGACATTAAAACATCCTATTGATTAATAAATAAGATTTAAAATGTTAAATTATTTAATCAAGCCTGATATACAGACAACGTTATTAGCATTCTTTAAAAAATATATATATATATATATATATATATATATATATATATATATATATATATATATATCACACATACATGCACAGTTGAAGTCAGAATTATTAGCCCGCCTTTGATTTTTATTTATTTTTATTACTATATTTCTTAAACGATGTTTAACAGATTCAGGAAATTTTCACAGTATGTCTGATTATATATATTTTTTTCTGGAGAAAGTCTTATTTGATTTATTTCGACAAGAATAAAAGCAGTTTTTTTTTTTTTAAAGCCATTTTAAGGTCAATATTATTAGACTCTTTAAGCTGTAAATTTTTTTCTGATTGTCAACAGAACAAACCATCATTATACAATAACTTGCCTAATTACCCTAACCTGCTTAGTTAACCTAATTAACCTAGATAAACCTTTAAGTGTCACTTTAAGCTGAATAGAAGTGTCTTGAAGAATATCTAGTCTAATAGTATTCACTGTCATCATGACAAAGAGAAAATAAATCAGTTATTAGAGATGAGCTATTAAAACTATTATGATTAGAAATGTGTTGAAAAAAAAACAGAAACTGGTGAAAAAATTAACAGGTGGGCGAATAATTACATTTTTTTATTTTGTTTTTTTTCAAGTGTTTAAAAAACAAACAAACAAAAGAAAAAAACAACAACAGATTATTTAAATAAATAAATAAATACACAATTAAACAAACAAACTATTAAATAATAAAAAAAGTTATTTACTAAATAAATAAGTGAACGAATAATATAATACATAACTAATATTTTAGGCTTTAATAATTAATTGGGCGTTAAAAATCGTTAATAGGCATGTCATTGGACAACAGTAGTTTTGTAGGTCGAAGAGGAATAATAATATTGACCTAAAATAAAATACATATACATGTACATATTTATAGCTGAAGTCAGAATAATCAGCCCCCCTGTTTATTTTTCCCCAATTTCTGTTTATTGGAGAGAAAAAAAGAATTTCAACACATTTCTAAACATAATAGTGTTAATAAAGCCATTTTAAGGTCAATATTCACTCCTTTAAGCAATATTAGTTTTAGATTGTCTCAAGAACAAACCACTGATATACAATAACTTGCCTAATTACCCTAACTTTACCCTAATTACCCTAGTGAAGACTTGAAATGTCACTTTAAGCTGAACACTAGTGTCTTGAAGTATATCTAGTCTAATATTATGTGCTGTCATCATGACAAAGAGGAAATAAATTAGTTATTAGAGTTATTAAAACTATTATGTTTAGAAATGTGTTGAGGACATTTGCTCTCTGTTAAACAGAAATTGGGGCGAATGGTTCTGACTTCAGCTGTAGTTATCAGAGCATCCTAATGTCCTTTCAGTGCTGATATTGCAGCGTGTGCTGTTGTAGAGTGCAGACGTGCAGCTGCTGTGTTTGGATGAGTGTGTTATTAAAGCTCACTTCTGCTGTAAATAAAGCTGCTATCTGCTAACGGCAGCTCTGCTTTCTGAACACAATCACAGCACTGACCTTCAGCACACACACTCTTATTATAGCCTCTACAACTGTGAGTAGAAACACACACACACACACGCACACACACAGACACACACACACACACAGACACACACACACACACACACACACACACACACACACACACACACACACACACACACACACACACACACACACACACACACACACACACACACACACACACACAGACACACACACACACATACACACACATACCCACACACAGAAAAAAATAAAAAATAAAAATAAAATAAATAAATAAATAAATAAATAAATAAATATATATATATATATATATAATTAAATGAGTTTTAAATCTGCAATTTAAATCCGAACTCTGATGTTTTACTGTGATTTTGCTTAAACAAACAGCTTTTCTGAGCAGAAATACTGCATATTTTGGGACCAAATGATCTGAACACATTAAGATCCTGGTGTGGTGCATTATTAAGATGAATATCCTGAGCAGATTATTATGTAAATGGTAGTACTGCAGATGTTCTTACCTGTGCAGGTGAAGAATTTGGACTCTCCAACACTCATTTCCACTTTATTGAGAGATATGGACACCTGGAGCACAGCTGAAAAAGACAACAAGAGAACAACAAGAGAAAACATTATTATTACTATTATTATTATTATTAGTAGTAGTAGTAGTAGTAGTAGTAGTAGTAGTAGTAGTAATTCATCACATTCCTTCACTTCAGAGCATTTCTAAAGCAGCTTCACAATAACAAACATGGATAAATGAACTGTTAAACTAGTTAAACTCCTCATTATCATCACGTTAAGAGTAGAAATGGTGGATGGAGATCAGTCCTGCTTCTCAGATGGGTGTTTTGACAAATCTCACATGTGCACTCGAAAGTCTGACATCTCAAATTGAGCTCATGCACTTCATACCTAATGATCTGAGCTGCTTCATTTTATTGATCTATATTCAACATCCAGTGGCTCATTTGGGTTATTTTTATCAGTGCTGAACTAAACAAACATCAGAGCACAGCATCTTCATATGCAAATCAACCAAGACTCTCGGTTTTTTTTCTCTCTATTTTTTTAGACGCAAATTAATATGAGATTAATCTGACAGAAAGAACAAAAACTAACTAACCACCTATCCAACTAAATACATAAATGAATAAATAAATGAACAAATAAATGAATGAATAATGTTTCTTACTCTTGCCAGACTTAATAAACATTATTAAACTTTTACATGGAAAGAAACCCCGTCTAATCTTTGACTTCATAATAATAATAATATTTATTTATTCTTTATTCATTTATTTGTTTATTTATTTGTTTGTTTGTTTGTTTGTTTTTTGTTTGTTTACTTGTTAATTTATTTATTTATTCATTCATTCATCCATTTGTTTGTTTGTTCGTTCATACATTTATTTGTTATTTTATCCATCCCTCCATTTATTTATTTATTTATTTATTTATTTATTTATTTATTTGTTTATTTATTTATTTATGTTTCATTCATTCATTCATTCATTCATTCATTTTTTCCATTAATTAATTGATTAATTAATTATTAATAAATTTTATTTTAAACATTAAAACACAATTAAGACACAAAAGTGGATTCAAACAACTAATCAAAACAAATAATTTGAAAACAAGGCTTTAATTTCCCCCTTCGTACATTTTGTTTGATTACATTTTTTTCTAAGAAAAATCAATCAATCAATCAATCAATCAATCAATCAATCAATCAATCAATCAATCAATCAAGCATGTATGAATTAAATAATTAATACTTCTATTTTTTTGTTTTGTTTACAGAAGACAAAAATTAAAATGACTAAATCAACTGTACTAACAGTTTCTATTTGATCGTATATATACATTCATTTATTAATTTTCCTTCAACTTCCTGCAAACTCCACACAGAAATGACAACTGGCCCAGCCGGGACTCAAACCAGCGACCTTCTTGCTGTGAGGACACAGTGCTAACCACTGAGCCATGTGCTACCCCTGCTTCATTTAAAATAAATAATCTGATACATAAATAAATAATCTGATAAATAATCTGATAAATAAATAAATAAATAAATTTAAAAATAAATAAAAATTGTGACAGAAGAGCTCATTCTTTTTCATCTGAAATGATTATATTTCTGCAGTGCCGCTGTCCTTCAGAGCTCCAGATTCACCCATTCATCATCTCTAACAGTTTCACATTTAATACGATCACTTAATCATTGATATATTTTCATGAGCTCAGTTCAGAAGTATATTGGCTCACTTGTGCGTGCATACATCATGCATATAAATCCCCCCATATTAAATCACTGTAGTAAATTGTATTTGAGGCAGACAGCAGAGCGGGACGCCTCATTGTTCATGTTTTAAGCATAAACTCATTTTCCAGAAATGAAGATCGTCACTCGTCATTTTCTGCAGGAATGTATTTATTTTCCCCGCAGTGTTTCTGCCTACAGGTGTCAGTGTGGAGCCGGTGTGTGTGTGGATCTTTAACACGCCGAGCGCTGCTGATTTATTCCTGTCAGGGCCACGGTGGAAGGAACCAGGCTGTCCTTTATTGTTGTAGTTTTTGTCCTCAGACTCTGCTAACTGTGAGAGTGTCTAATCTGAGAGCGCACAGGCTGATTAATGAGCACAGCCCTGAACTTACACACTACACCACAGCACCACAGCAGAGTCTGACGACTGACACCTCAACAGCAGAGAAACACGTGTGTGTGTGTGTGTGTGTGTGTGTGTGTGTGTGTGTGTGTGTGTGTGTGTGTGTTTGTGTGTGTGTGTGTGTGTGTGTGTGTGTGTGATTCTGGTATTCATCACATTGTAGGGACCAAATGTCTTCTCAAGTTTAACAACAGTATTTTTTTACCTTGTAGGAACAAGGTTAAAGTTTAAAAGCTGCTTAAAACAGCTCTGAATGATCCCTGCTGAGGAATAAGAGTCTAAACTAGCAAAACTATCAGTCAATTTATTCATACATAATACAGTTACAGTTACATAATACAGTTTAAACTCTTATTCCTCAGCTGGGATCATTCAGAGCTCTTTGAAGCGGCTTTTAAACTGTAACCTTGCCCCTACAAGGTAAAAAAAAAAATACAGGTATTGTTAAACTTGAGGACAATTTGGTCCCTACAATGTGTTGAAAACCAGAACCACACACTCACACACACA